AGAACGCTGTTTTTACTTCAAGCCCAGCACAGATTCCGCGGAGTTCCTGGCGACGCTCGAGGATCCGCGGCGAGAACGCTGTTTTTACCTGAAGCCCAGCACCGTTTCCGCGGAGATCCTGGCGACGCTCTAGGATCCGCGGCGAGAACGCTGTTTTTACCTGAGGCCCAGCACAGTTTCCGCGGAGATCCTGGCGACGCTCTAGGATCCGCGGCGAGAACGCTGTTTTTACCTGAAGCCCAGCACAGTTTCCGCGGAGATCCTGGCGACGCTCTAGGATCCGCGGCGAGAACGCTGTTTTTACCTGAAGCCCAGCACAGTTTCCGCGGAGATCCTGGCGACGCTCTAGGATCCGCGGCGAGAACGCTGTTTTTACCTGAAGCCCAGCACAGTTTCCCCGGAGATCCTGGCGACGCTCTAGGATCCGCGGCGAGAACGCTGTTTTTACTTTAAAAAAAATAAAAAAAAAAACAAAAAAAAAGAAAAAAAACAAAAGAAAAAAAAAGAAAAAAAAAGCCCCAGCACTAGTTCCGCGTGAGATCCTGGCGACGCCTTGGATCCTCGGCAGAACGCTTTGTTTACCTGAATCCCATCAACTGAGCTTTCCGCGGAGATCCTGGTCGCGCTCTCAGGCTCCGCGGCGAGAACGTGTTTCACCTAAACAACAATATAAAAAAAAAAAGCCGCAGCACGTTTTTCCCCGATATCCTGGCGACTCTCTAGGATCCGCGCGAGAACGCTGGTTTTTACCTGAAGCCCACCAAGTTTTTTTTTTTTTCCGCGAATCCTGCGACGCTCTAGGAGCCCGGCGAGAACCTTTTTTTACTTGAAGCCCAGCACAGTTTCCGCGGAGATCCTGGCGACGCTCCAGGATCCGCGGCGAGAACGCTGGTTTTACCTGAAGCCCAGCACAGTTTCCGCGGAGTTCCTGGCGACGCTCTAGGATCCGCGGCGAGAACGCTGTTTTTACCTGAAGCCCAGCACAGTTTCCGCGGAGATCCTGGCGACGCTCTAGGATCCGCGGCGAGAACGCTGGTTTTTACCTGAAGCCCAGCACAGTTTCCGCGGAGATCCTGGCGACGCTTTAGGATCCGCGGCGAGAACGCTGTTTTTACCTGAAGCCCAGCACAGTTTCCGCGGAGTTCCTGGCGACGCTCTAGGATCCGCGGCGAGAACGCTGTTTTTACTTGTAGCCCAGCACAGTTTCCGCGGAGTTCCGCTTGCTAAGCTCACGCCGTAGGTCAAGCCGTCCAAGAGATCAACGAGGGCCAAGGCGGCGGGTACGGTCTGGGAGCGCTAGCAGCTATAGCCACCTTAATTTTTCCTTGGTGTTGATAGTCAAGCCATGATAAGCCCAAGCGCTGGGGGTTTTTGCATCAAATGCCGGATCGGTTCTCAATGGCTGCTCCACTTAAGGGGCACCTTCTCGTACTCTCCAAGGAAAAGATATGGAAAGACAAGCATCTGTGTTATCTGGATATGTGTGGCAAAGAAGGACTCCTGAAAAAGTAATCAGGTAATGCCTCGTGGTCTTTTTGAGGCTGCCCCCTTTTTTTGCGGGAGGACAGTTGGAACAGTCCTGAGTTGTGCTCGCGGCAAGTGAAGGTGACATTCCTCCAGACGGGCGGGTTCTTTGCGCAGCATGCGCCAGAGCTGTTGGCCACTGAGAGAGGAAGAGAGAGCGGCTCCAGGCCGGGGGGGAGGTCTGCAATGGCAAGCCGGGAAGGGTCTAAAAAATGCCCTCTGAAACTCTTTCACGCTCCTTGATGTTGGCATTGATCGTGTACACCTCCTGTACGTATTGTTTCACTGTTGGTTCTGAACGCGACACGCGATCGTTCGAGGCTTACCGAAATGGTACGACATCATTCCATATGGTGATTTTGTCAACGTTGAGGCGTAAGTGAGTCTGACGTCGAGGTAAGTTATAAGCCCGGACGCATTCACCGAGGTCCTCGCGAAGCGCGCTGAATGTCCGCGAGCGCCGGCCGCAAAACTCAAATAGAACAAGGCGGGGCTCAGCGGTTCCCCTTCTTCTACGCCTTCCGCTTGCCACAGAGGTCGAGTAATGTGGTCTTCTGATTAGTGTGGGGCCCCCCCCCCCCCCAAACTAATTCCACCCCCGCAAGTATAAAAAAAAAAGGACCCCCCAAACTAATTTTCGGCCCCGGGCCCCCCCCCCACCGGCTCCTCTTCATTTCCTCTTGGCTCCTCTTCCCTCCCCTCTTCCTCTCCTCTTCCTTTCCCTCTCCTCTTAGGTATCTTGTTGTCTATTTTTCTCTCTTCCGACACCCATGCCCGAAAAACTTTTCATTATAGTAGGGGGGGCGGCCTTTTTTGGTCCCCTGAATTATTTTTTGAAAACTTTTCATTATTGAAGGGGTCCACACTAATCAGGATACGACATTACAGTGACGCCTTGGTGCCACACGATACAGTAGACGAAGGACGACCCAACCAGAGCTTGGCAAGCGCGAGCAGCGCAGCTGCTGCAGGCAAGGACCGGAGTTCTTGCAGAATCGACTGGCGGCTGATGCCGTCGTCGGCGGCAGTTGCGCCCAAGGAAACCACAGTGTCGTCGGATCACGCGGGCACTTGGCCTACACGGCATGCACCCACGCCTCCAAGCCTGCACGATTGCCAATTCGTATTGGCGCGGACACGCAGGTTCGAAAGCGCCCGCGAATTGTTGAGCAAGCGTGCGCGCGACTACGCGCTTGAAGAAGCCACCAATAATCAACCGACGGGTAGTTGTAACCCCTGTTCGGCTTCCGGAGGGCAGCCGCCCGCGACCGAGGCCAAAAGCGGCTGGAGGATGGCAGCAGGGATCTGCTCCTGCGCAAGCAGGGTCAACACTTCATGTGTCGGCACAACGCGCATGTCGCGCCCGCCACTTAATTGGCAAACATGCGCGACAGCTTGCTTGAGCGGGCCCCCGTGCGCAACCAGAACGAGGCTCGTGGCCCAATCGAGGTGGCCCCGAGAGCTGCATGCTCCAAGGGCAAGCGGCACGGGCAAGCGCGGGCCAACCTGGTGGGTAAGGGAGAGGTTGATGGCGCGAGCAGAGTGTCCTGCTCCAGGCCGGTGCCAGCTGGGGTGTAGCTCGCGCCGCGAAGTAATAAAAACACCTCGAATGCCTTTACATTCGGAAATCTTGGATTTATCTAAAGTTTCATAAGAAAACCTGTCGATTCCCTTTGCATTTCAATTGGACGACCGTGCAACTTTCTTGAATTTGAAAGGAAACCTCTCAGCGCACGCTACACCCCGCGTTGAGCCGGAGGCAAGACTGGAGATTTCAAGCAGCAGTTTTTGCAGACTGGGCTCGCTGCAATTTGCAGCATGGTACCCAAACGGCTCAACGTAGGCGCTTCGATTGCTCAAAGGGAGGGCGGCTTCGACTTCGAGGGTTTGAGGCTTCGCAGCCAGCCCGGTCTTTGCAGATAACGCTTGAGTCACTTCAGTTGGGACTGTAGTACCCCCGATTGTAATCCCTATTAAGGACTGTTAGCATAAGGGGGAACATCCCAACACTTAAGCTTCTTCAGGGCTTTCGTTGATTGAACATTGAACGCTCCGGCGATTCGGGCCTTGCGACCTCGGGGACGTGGGCCCTTGCCCGGGAGTTTACCAAGTTCTGCGACTACCTCAACTAGATGATCCTGCAGCTACGAAACCCAGCAGCAAGCCCATGTAAGCCCAAATAGCCATAGGAATTCAGAATCGGACGGGTTGCGGCGCATTTCTTCATGCCCAAGGCACACATGTCCACGTGATGACGAGCTGACGAGCTATTGTGGCTCCACAAGCTCGGCTACGGTAGCACGCCAAATCGATATCAGGCAGTTCTGGGGGTTGCTGTGCGAAGATTTGGCGTGCTTTTTTGGCTTCTGAGGCTTGCAGCTTCTTGCAAGGCTCAGGGTGAAACTCGGCCTTGGCCCCTAGCACAGACTTGGCACTAGCGGACAAGGACACAAAGTTCTGCTTGCAGACTCTTATACAGATGTGGATTCACGTGTGCTTCTTAACATCTTGAGAGGGCTTGTGTCCGAAGGCCACAAACTAATCCTCAAGCAAAAGGCCCCCAAAGCTTAGCTCGTTGGAGGCGGGTCTTCTTCGACATCCGTCCATCGAAGTCGAGTTCCTGCCTCAGAAATGCTCAGCACACAAAGCACCGAAAACCAAACAGGAGCGTTCGCTAAGTCACTCAAGCTCGAAAAGCTCATAAGCTCCAAACCAGCCACACAAGAAGACCCTGATTGAAAGCCCAGTGCAGCACCTTCCACAGGCCCTCCCGAGCGACACCCTTCACGTCGATGTATCTGCCTGGGTGTCAAGGCTTGACGTGGAGAGGGTACGTGCGTGTGACTCTTCTAGGGCATGAACAGCTAAACCATCACACAACTTTTCAACACGAAGTCAAGTTGTCAATGGTGCACTGTGTATCATCTTCGAAGTCAGTACCAATCCGTACCAGGCTAACTCCCTGCAGCCCCGTCACCTTTGCCATGCTGCTTGCCCTCCAGCCACTGGCCTATGTAGCACCGGCCTCTCAAGAACGGACGCTAACTCGCCCTCCGACCCGGGTACGTGAAAGGGCAAAGCATGCAGATGCGGGTCTTGAGCAAGTCCCAATCCAAATCCGACTCAGCTTATGGCCCTTGGGTGGCTTTGGGAGAACCATCTCCTCCTACAAAGGACCTGTAGATAACTCGAAAACAAACCTTCCAGCATTGGCCAAATCTCCAGCAATGTCCGTACAAGAGGCTTACGACTGCATGTATGGCTTCAGTGCGATGGAACATGGCCAAGACTACGCCAGTCAATGGGAGGACTCTGGCTTCAAAACTACATCCAGCTCAGCTTGCACGATCTCTTGCAAACCCGAGTACTTTCGCTGCTCAAACATCCAAAAGTGCCCGGGTTGCCCCTAACCCTAAACCCTAAACCCTTAACCCAAAAGCCCTTTTTCTGTTACTCTACGACCTGGGCATGTCCCCTCATTGGCTGAGGGTCGGGCCGTCCGGCCAACAGAATTTGCCTTCACCGGACTTGCGATCGCCGAGGTAGTCTCCCTCGTACCATCTGCCTGCTGTGTTTGGAACCCTAAACCCCAAACCCTAACCCTAAACCCTAAACCCTAAACCCTAATTGGCTACTTTACAGAGATGTAAGGATGTCTAAACAGGCATGAGCCGAGCACGAGGGCCGCGCCATCTGGCCACTTCATAGTGCCTTGGCCGGTCCTCGGCTTCAGCGTCTCAATTCAGTTTCGGGTTTAGGGTTTAGGGTTTAGGGTTTAGGGTTTAGGGTTTAGGGTTTGGGGTTTAGGGTTTAGGGTTTAGGGTTGCAGACAGACAGCTGGCCCAGTTAATTCTGGCATTCGGCAGTCGATACCCTCTGAGCACGCAGCATCTGGCTGTCTTGCCAGCTACCGACGTACACGCCTCAAGCGGGCAAACAAATCTCCATCTCTAAGCAAGCAACTGACATCAGTCTGAGACATCCGCGTCCATCAGAGAAGGTGTACGTACCCTGCACGGGCGAGTGAGGGTGAAGTGCGCATCCAGTAGACCATACGACCCCAACTGAAGCAACTCGCAAACCCCTAACGTCGTCTGACTTGCCCGTCCCTGGACGACAACATCATCTGTCAAAGCGGAATAAAGCGGAAAGCACGAGCACCTCGCCATGCATGCTATCGTTGAAGAACTGGCCTGAATAGGACCTCACAGTGCCAGGTGCCCCAAAACCACTGAGCCCTACTGCATCTTCCACAAAAATGCTGCCACCGCCCTTCCTTCGACATAAGATGCAATGATGATGTAACAGTAATACAGTATAATGATATTATCATAATATACTAGCATGTTACTATAAAAAAACATGAGGAAAACACAACCACATAGTATGATAATTTTAAACAAAACTAGCATGACATGGCCCAGTGAATGACTCCGAGCCCTTCACGAGTTGTCAGAGGAGGTGAAGAGCCCGTAGCCGTGCTTCTTGCCGTCCCTGGAAAGGCAAGATCTGGAAATCGGTTCAGGGTTCCCCCAAGTGTGTCTGAAGATTTACGTACTTTACCATCCAGAAGTCTCAATCAGGAGCAGGTTGCCTAGTTAGATCTAGTTAGGTACTCCGAAAATAGGCACGGCCTCACAAATCGACATGTACACCGCCACAGTGTGGCATCTCCAACACTCTCTAGGCCTGTACTCGCCCTTGAAAGTGGATCCATCGGCCCAGGTCTCGAGACCTTGACCGGACTTCATGTCCTGACCGATTTGAAACAACCGCACTCCGCCAAACCGGGCTGCGGAAGTGACAGAACGCCCGGACTGCTAAGCTCCTACTCCCAACACACGCTGCAAGCAAATCCTACGAGTGCAGTGATCCATTCTGTGCTCCTCCACCCAGTCGCCGATATATGAAGATCCTGGCAGTGCATTCGATGCTCAGGTCTCGGATTGCTTCAGGCTTGGCACAAAAGGCGGCACAAGCTCCAGAAGGCGAAGCACTTCCTGAACCCCTGCGACAAGCGAGCCGCTGCGGCCATCCGAGTGCAGGAACTTCCCAGATCCATGAGCCTAGCACTTCGAGCTGCTGAATGACAAGGCCAGGAAGGGGAATACCACCTGCAGGCACGTAAGCCCTATGTAGGCATAAGACCCTCGTTACAGCGGGGGTGCCCTTGTGCGAGGGCCGAGGGCTGCGCGGAGCTTCCCTCAAATCGCGGCCTTGTCATCTAGCCACTGGCCCTCGTACACATCGCCGTTCGCATGGACAAATCTCCCACGTCCTGTCGGGCGGAGCCAAACATGACTCAGAATGACCACAGAGACGCGTCGCTGAGACTTCTTCAAGGTCTTGAGGTGTCAGAGTGGAAGAGCTCCATGGGGGATATATCCCACGACAGTGGCCCACACTTTGAGTGCAAAGAATGAAACCCCCGGGTGGCCCACCACAGGCCCGGTCGTCCACAAACTGCCCCTCGTACCTGCCACCATCGGGCCTGAGGACTGCAGCAGGCTCTGGTAGAAGAGTTGGGCTATCTAAACCCTACACCCCAAACCCTAAACCCTAAATCCTAAACCCTTGGTTCCTTGGAGGAAAAGTTCTTGACATGGCCATTGGGAAGCTAATCGTCTCTCTAGCACTTTTGTGAGAACCCACCTAGGACCGACATCCTGATCCACCTAGGACCGACATCCTCCTTCCTCAAGCGTTCACCACAGGTCACTGCCTGCAATGCCTGCGAGTATACTTGCAGTCGAGAGATCATGCACTGACATTGCACGTCAAAGCAAATTGATGCTGCAAGGGTTCAGCGTCTAGGGTGCGGGTTTTCCCAGAAGCTTCGGGTGAGAAGGCATGGTGCTCCAAAACCCTCGACCGAAGCACTAAACCCTAAACCCTAAACCCCCCCCCCCCCTGATACTCCCGGCATGCCAGCGCCTCAGCAAGGTGCCTTCTCCATGTCGATGGGCACCAAGCCATTGGCCCGTATAGATCTGGAAAGCAGTTGAGGGATCTTGACAGGGACTGCAAGAACATACAGTACGAGTTTCAAGTTGGGATGTTCCCCCCTATTCTACAGTTCTAACAGTCCTGAAGGACTGTTAGTATAACATCCCAAGTCCCAAGGTATCAACGCCTGCTCCCTCATCTCCCCTGCTCAGGCTCAAGCTATTCCATTCTCCAGCTCGACGGGGCCCCTTTGGTGTGGTCCCTGACACACACGGCTCAGGCTGTCCACCAGCAGAGGCATGGGGGTTTCCGCAAATAGGGGTACCCGGGTTCCTTTAAGTGGGAATCTATTTTTGGGGGGAAGAAAAGGGGTACCCCCCTATTTTGGGAAACAGCCACATGGGCCTACCCTCAAATAGATACCTTCTACCACTTTTCGTGATTCGTCCTGCAAGTGATAATGGCACTACTGCTCTTGCTACTTTCAGCACAACAGATGATAGCCTTCGAGTCTTCATCACATTGGTTGCGTACTTGCTCTTCCGCTCATTCCATGTCTGTTCATTCACCTTTCGTTGATCTGGGGGGCAGGGGGGAGGGGTGGAGGGGTGGTCAGTGAGTAATAACCCAGGAACCAAGATATATTAAAGAATATTCAAATACTAGTTATAACAATATAATCATATTATTATCACATTCAAGAATATTCAAATACTAGTTATAACAAAAAAATCATATTATTCTCATATTAAAGAACATTCAAATACTAGTTATAACAATATAACCATAATATTCTCACATTAAAGAATATTCAAACACTAGTTATAACAATATAATCATATCATTCTCATATCAAAGAATATTCAAATACTAGCTATAACAATATAATCATATTATTCTCATATCAAAGAATATTCAAATACCAAGTTATAACAATATAATGATATTATTGTCATATTAAAGAACATTCAAATACCAAGTTATAAAAATAGAGTCATATAACTATCATATACTATCATACTAAAGAATATTCAAATACCAAGTTATAACAATATAATCATACTATTATCATATCAAAGAATATTCAAATACAAGTTATAACAATATAATATAATATAATATAATATAATATAATATAATATAATATAATATAATATAATATAATATAATATAATATAATATAATATAATCATATGATTATGATATTAAAGAATATTCAAATACCAAGTTATAACAATATCCGCCGACCCGAGCTTTGAGCGGGGGAGGCGCTAGTGAAGACCCATAGTCTTGCCCCCCCCCCCGCCCCCCCCGCCCCCCCCGCCCCCCCAGCCCCCCCCCGCTCCCCTCGCCCTTCCCACCCCACTCCTGCCCACCCCTCCCGCTGCCTTGCTGTTAGAATGGAGTGTTTTCAAGGGCTCCAGTGCATGCCCGAACCCTCCCTTTGCTGCCCCCGCCCCCCCCGCCCCCCCCGCTGCCCCCGCTCCCCCCGCCCTTCCCACCCCCGCCGACCCCCTCCACTGCCTTGCTGTCAAACTGGCGTGTTTTAAGGGCTCCAGTGCATGCCCCACTCCTGCCCACCCCTCCCGCTGCCTTGCTGTTAGAATGGAGTGTTTTAAGGGCTCCAGTGCATGCTCGAGCCCTCCCTTCGCTGCTCCCGCCCCCCCCCGCCCCCGCTCCCCCCGCCCCCCCCCCCCGCCGACCCCCTCCGCTGCCTTGCTGTCAGACTGGCGTGTTTTAAGGGGTTTAGTGCATGCCCCACTCCTGCCCACCCCTCCCGCTGCCTTGCTGTTAGAATGGAGTGTTTTTAAGGGCTCCAGTGCATGCCCGAGCCCTCCCTTCGCTGCCCCGCCCCCCCCGCCCCCCCCGCTCCCCCCGCTCCCCTCGCCCTTCCCACCCCTGCTGTTAGAATGGAGTGTTTTCAAGGGCTCCAGTGCATGCCCGAACCCTCCCTTCGCTGCCCCCGCCCCCCCCGCCCCCCCCGCTGCCCCCGCTCCCCCCGCCCTTCCCACCCCCGCCGACCCCCTCCACTGCCTTGCTGTCAAACTGGCGTGTGTAAAGGGCTCCAGTGCATGCCCCACTCCTGCCCACCCCTCCCGCTGCCTTGCGTTTTAAGGGCTCCAGTGCATGCCCGAGCCCTCCCTTCGCTGCCCCCGCCCCCCCCGCCCCCCCCGCTCCCCCCGCCCCCCCGCCCCCGCCGACCCCCTCCGCTGCCTTGCTGTCAGATTGGCGTGTTTTAAGGGGTTTAGTGCATGCCCCACTCCTGCCCACCCCTCCCGCTGCCTTGCTGTTAGAATGGAGTGTTTTTAAGGGCTCCAGTGCATGCCCGAGCCCTCCCTTCGCTGCCCCCGCCCCCCCCGCCCCCCCCGCTCCCCCCGCCCTTCCCACCCCCCCTCCCGCTGCCTTGCTCCCCTCGCCCTTCCCACCCCACTCCTGCCCACCCCCCCCGCTGCCTTGCTGTTAGAATGGAGTGTTTTCAAGGGCTCCAGTGCATGCCCGAGCCCTCCCTTCGCTGCCCCCGCCCCCCCCACCCCCCCCGCTCCCCCCGCTCCCCCCGCCCTTCCCACCCCCCCTCCCGCTCCCCCCCCCCGCTCCCCTCGCCCTTCCCACCCCACTCCTGCCCACCCCTCCCGCTGCCTTGCTGTTAGAATGGAGTGTTTTCAAGGGCTCCAGTGCATGCCCGAACCCTCCCTTTGCTGCCCCCGCCCCCCCCGCCCCCCCCGCTGCCCCCGCTCCCCCCGCCCTTCCCACCCCCGCCGACCCCCTCCACTGCCTTGCTGTCAAACTGGCGTGTTTTAAGGGCTCCAGTGCATGCCCCACTCCTGCCCACCCCTCCCGCTGCCTTGCGTTTTAAGGGCTCCAGTGCATGCCCGAGCCCTCCCTTCGCTGCCCCCGCCCCCCCCGCCCCCCCCGCTCCCCCCGCCCCCCCGCCCCCGCCGACCCCTTCGCTGCCTTGCTGTCAGATTGGCGTGTTTTAAGGGGTTTAGTGCATGCCCCACTCCTGCCCACCCCTCCCGCTGCCTTGCTGTTAGAATGGAGTGTTTTTAAGGGCTCCAGTGCATGCCCGAGCCCTTCCTTCGCTGCCCCCGCCCCCCCCGCTCCCCGCTCCCCCCGCCCTTCCCGCCCCTGCTGTTAGAATGGAGTGTTTTCAAGGGCTCCAGTGCATGCCCGAACCCTCCCTTCGCTGCCCCCGCC